CCGGCATGTGGGTTTTGAGATGGCGTCGTAGACTGTATTGCAGGGCGAACTGCTTTCCGCACAACGAGCACACAGCAGGCGACCGCTCCTTCGACATGGAAGAGGAGGTGGAATAGGCGGAGGAGGTCGACATACAGTCAACGGTGGCGGCGGTAGTGGTGGTGTTGGTGTTGGTGAATTGGGCGCAGCGTTCGGAATTCGTCTCAACCAGAGGGCAGCCAGCCGACCTCAGGAGAGTATTGCTGATGTTATCGGTCTGTCTGTCGTTGCCCTGCATCGAGGCGATCTCCTTTTCCCGCAAGAACTCCTCGGCGGCTAAGCAACATGCACCGCCATACGGGTCTCGCTTCTGGCGCTTCAGACTAACACGGTGCACGCGTTCCATGTGTCGCTCGCGGTTCGATTTCGTAGAGAAGGCTTTGGTGCATCGCGTGCAAGAAAATTGTTAATGAGCTAGAACTAGAGAGCAAGACTGATTCGAAGATTTTCTTGTGAGCTACTGAACAACAGAATGCGTTCATGAGAAGGCATTCGCGACACTAATTTAGGATTCTTGGTTATCGAAACCACGAAGAAAAGCCTCGAGTTGGTAGTACTCTTAGTTATTATTAAGCAAAACCACAGGTGCAACAGTGTGGACGAATGGTACCCTAAAGAGGAGTCTATTGGAACTTCTGTAGTGAAGTGGGTTGGAGGGCGTCTGCCGTGTGATTCTGCCATGTCGTGGATGGTCAATGAAGCCCATTCTGTTGTAGCAGTCTTCTTCATCCCAAAGCACGGGTATTCTATATGTGCGGCAGCGGATGCGTTTGAATGTGGCCACTCAAATAGCAGCAATTTTTCATGCATGGACAGCAGAGGCGAATTCTCTTAAATGCCAACTACAGCTCTCATGGTGGCCCATCCGATGTTCAATCACTGCATCCATAAACATTGCTCGGGATTATTGCTTCTGCATCTGAAGAGGCATTGGCAAGTCAGCAAAGACGACGCTGATGAGGGCTTCGACCGGGTCAGTAGACGCCATTTGGACTGCGCGAGGAGAAGGAATCTGCAATGGATGAAGCGGCGTTCCAGCAAGTCAACATGAGCAAAGTTCCTCATCTACTGTTTGCCTGGGCCACTAATCTGCCAGATGTGTGGTATCAAGTGGTTTTGAAGTGGGTATTTCGTCAATCATCAACAGTGCGGGGAACCAGGCCAGAAGGTGAGGACAGCTTTCCTTAAGAAGAGGGCAAAATGTAATGTAGCGACGCGTTGGGGCGCAGCCAAAGTGTACCACGGCGGCCTCAGCCAATGGCATGCGAGGAGGATTTGCATCCAACCAGAGACATGGATGGATCAGAAGAGGAATATGACAAGCGATTCTGCCAGCACGGGTGATTCAAATGGACAGCGCCTCGTGCATGGTTCTAGCTTGTCGTCAATGGTCAATAATGACTGTTCTCCTGTACCAATATTCTCCATACCAGGGCTCAAGTGTTCTACATGTCAACAAGCCTGAATGCTTGGAGAAGAAATCCATTTCCAATGATGGCTTCACGGCCACGCACATCATCCTCATCATCATCAGCTGTGGCACATTCACAATTTAATGGAAGTCGACTTTATTCTAAACCAGACAACTACGAACAAAATTGCCTTTAAAAGTTGCATTTAATTCAAGATTTAATGATATCCCCTTTTTAACTTAAACCCCTAAAAAACCTTCGTAAACACGCACTGGTAGCAAACATACATGCGGTTAATTTCCATGTTATTGACAAAATTCGTCTTCAGTGCATCTTATAGTCAAGGATAATTTAGCAGTTTATTCGTGTGCACATTTTAATAGCTCAATGAATTTTACATGATCAATCTTCCCAACTTCAATAATAATGTTTAAGTGAATCAAATTAAATTCAAGCAATGCATTTGCAACGAACGATTTGTGCTACTTGGTTTTGGGCCAGTTGTGTTACCGTGTGTACTCTTCGTTTTAAACATGCTGTTAGTACGCAAAATAT